GTAGAGACGGGGTTTCACCGTGTTGACCAGGATGGTCTCGATCTCTTGACCTTGTGATCCACCCGCCTCGGCCTCCCAAAGTGCTGGGATTACAGGCTTGAGCCACCGCGCCCGGCCCCAACTTGGTTCCTTTTTAACGCTTCTAAATAGGAAACAAACAGTGGCGGTGGGGGGCGCTGCTCTTAGGAGTCCCCCGGGGCCCTGGGGCGCAGCCTCCGCAGGGACGCGATGGTCTCCGAGCTGCAGCTCTGCCAGCCGCGTGCCGTTCCTTCCTTCGTATTTTTAAGACCGGAAAGTCTGCACGACTTCATTTCGGTTTTCTTCCTCCATCCTGACTGGAAGTCACACGCAGTCCGGATGATTAGCGGCAACGCTTAGAAAATCTTCCAAGTGGCCCCTCGAGGCCTTGGGAGGTCGCAAGAGCGGCTTCCTGTGGTCAGGGCGGGCTCCTGGGGTGGGTTCGGGGTGGCCTGGAAGTGGGGGGGGACATGGCCGGAACAGATCAGATCTGTCCATTCTAGAATCATCCAACCCAGGGCAGGGGCCCAGGTTCTAGTCTGCAGCCACTGCCTGGAAGAGCTTTGAGGAAAAAAGGAAAAGAGAAACAAAGAGGAAAGAAGTCGGGCGGGGGCATGGGGGGAAGCGGCAGCTCCCATGGGCGCTTCCTTGTATGTTATCACATCTGTGGGAACCCCGTGTCCTGGAAGCCACCTCATTACTCCCAGTGCAGAGGAGGAAACTGAGGCAAACAGGCCCCCACTGTAAATAGGGGAGACCAGACTCCCAAAGGTGGCGATTTGCCGAGACCAGAGGGCACTGCTCATGGCTGCTCAGGTGCCCCCTGAAGGCCACCGGCCACCACGAGGCGCCACAGAGCAGAGACACCCACCCCAGCCCCAAGACCAGCGCACTCAACACCTCGCCCCCGCCCCTCACATCTGTTCCCGGGTCACCTCTGCCAGCTCCACAGAAATCCACAAAATTCCGGCCTCCAGAAACTCGGCCACCAGGTGAGGAGGAAGCTGTCCTGCCCTGAGCTTCTCCACAGAGGCCAAGCAGACAGTTTCTGGTTCAGCTCAGAGCTAGAGGCCCTCACTAGCTGTCAGTTCAGTTAGATTTTGAGGAAGTCACAGAGAGGCAAAGACTGCAGCTCATGGGGCGAGTGTTCCTTGTGGCCTTCTTTTTTCTTTTTAAGGGAATATGTATTTTTTAAAATTTTTCCTTAAATTGTGGTGAATTATACACAACATAAAATGTACCACTGTAGGTCAGCAGCACGGAGCACATTCACACTGCTGTGCAGCCAACGCCAACATTCAGCTCCAGATCACTTTTCAGCCTGCAGAACTGAAACTGCTCATTAAACAGTAACTTCCCATTGCCCGTCCCCAGCCCCCAGCACCCACCACAGTACTTTCTGTCTCAATAAATAAATGATTCTAGGCAGCTCTTAGGATTGGAACTGTACAGTATTTGCCCTTTTGTCACCAGCTTATTTTGCTCTACCTTGTATCTTCATTTTGTTGCTGTTGTTTTCTGAGATGGAGTTTCGCTCTTGTTGCCCAGGCTGGAGTGCAATGGCACGATCTCGGCTTACCACAACCTCTGCTTCCCGGGTTCAAGCAATTCTCCTGCCTCAGCCTCCTGAGTAGCTTGGATTACAGGCACGCACCACCATGCCCCACTAGTTTTTTGTATTTTTAGTAGACATGGGGTTTCTCCATGTTGGTCAGGCTGGTCTTGAACTCCCAATCTCAGGTGATCCACCCACCTCGGCCTCCCAAAGTGCTGGGATTACAGGCGTGAGCCACTGGCACCCGGCCTACATTGTATCTTCCATATAAACTCCCGGGCTCAAGCAATCCTCCCACTTCAACCTCCTGAGTAGCTGGAACTATGGGCACATACCACCATGCCTGGCTGATTTTTAAAATTTTTTGTAGGGAAGGGGGTCTCAGTAAGTTGCCCAGGCTGGTCTCACACTCCTGGCGCCTTAAAGTGCTGAGATTACAGTCATGAGCCTCCACTCCCAGCCAGTTTCTCTCATTTGTAAGGCTGAATAACATTCCTGGGTATGTATACACCACATCACGTTTATCCATTCACCCATGGACACCTGGGTTGTCTCTGCCTCCGGGCCTCTGTGAACGATGTTGCTGTGAACATAAGTGTGCCGGCTTGGCCTTTTGCTTTCTCAGACTCATCCCCTGCTCTTCTGCACTGCAACGGTATCTCTAAGGTGGACACACAAGCATTTAAGCCCTGACCCGCATCCTGGAACGGCGCTACTGCAGTCCACACCCCAGCCTGTTCATGCGTCAGGGATAGGCACCCCACGGTGGGCATCCCCTGGCTTTGGAGAGAAGCTCATAATCTTGGGGGCCACCGCTGAGGTTTCTTATGCTGCAGGGAATTGATCTTCACTACAGTCGGAGTAAGACTTAGCTCAATTTCCTCATTAGCCTTCATGAAGCCCACAGAGGTATCCTCTATAAGAGATGCTGTCAAAAGTTCCTGACTGCAGTCAGCCAGGAAACTAGGCTCCCATAGATGATAACCAGTCTAGAAGATGCTCTCATGAGCAAGGTGGCGGGGCTCAAGTGTGCCAGGAACTGCTACTTTTTCTGATTTCCTAACATGTAAATAGCTTCAAAGGCAAAGCAGGAGCTTTTACAGAAACCAAAGAGCTTCCTCTGTTTAATCTTTCCCCCCAAAAAAATGACCTGGAAATTAAGCCCAATTTTGCTAAAATCAGCAATAATTTAACCTCGAGGAAATTAAAGAGGGTTATTTTTTTATTTAGCACTTAAAATAATTTAGAATGTGAGAAATCAGATTGCTCAGGTCACACTCCCCGAGGACTGCTCTCTGCCGGCCCTCCTCCCGCCCCTGCCCCAGGATTCCAGTCCCTGTCCTCCACATCTGGACTCAAGTCTGCGTGGTATGGGCCACACTGACTGATGGCCAGGGGACATGCACTCACCAGCAGGGTGTGTCCCTCCGGTCTTCATAGTCGCCAGCAGCCTTCATACCAATGTTCTCCTGCCAGTGAGGCCAGGTCCCCAGGTGCCACTGGAGTCAGAGGAGGGCAGCCGGCATACGCCACACAGCCACTAGGAGCCACTTCATGCCAACGCTCCACTTCCTGTACGCCGCAGTCACATTCAGCTGCAAAGGTAGTTATGCTTTGGGTTTTTTTTTTTTTTTTAAAAAAAAAAAAAAAAAAAAGAAAAAAAAATTAAAATTTACCCCACAAAAAAAACAAAAAAAAAAAAAAAAAAAAAAAAAAAAAAAAAAAAAAAAAAGAAAGAAAAATGTGCTATCAAAATACAGGTGAGAATAAGGTCAGGAGTTCGAGGCCAGCCTAAACAACACGGAGAAACTTCATCTCTGCTAAAAATACAAAATTAGCCATACATGGTGGCACATGCCTGTAATCCCAGCTACTCAGGAGGCTGAAGCAGGAGAATCAATTGAACCTGGGAGGCGGAGGTTGCAGTGAGCCAAGATCACGCTATTGCACTCCAGCCTGGGCAACAAGAGCGAAATTCCATCTCAAAAGAAGTAAATAAATGAAAGGTGAGGAATGTCTTATCTTCCTTTGAGGGGCAGGGGAAGGCCAAAGAACTGTTGGAGAGAAGTGAACTGCACAGTGAAGGGAGGCTGGCTCTTCCAGGGGACAAAGGGCCCTGTCACACTCCACACTATCGTCACGGTGGGGCCCAACCCACCCTCCAGGCTCTTGGCCACCTGCCACCAGCCCAGCTTTACCTCCTCCCTGACTGGCGACCAGTCCTTCTCTCTCAGGACGGTGGTCTCCTCAGCTGAGGTCCACCAGCAGCCCAGACTCCACGGAAGAGAAGGACATTCACCCAGCCTGTCAGGCCAGCCTCACACCGGGACAACGCCCTGAGCCTGAAAGTCCTCCAGGCAGGCTCTTCCCTCGCCCAGAACATCTGCCCCACAGGTGAACCCCACTGTCACACACCTCAGAAGCCTTCCCAACCCTGACAGCCCCAGCCACCTCCACCCCTCCCCATGCAGACACTGCATTTGTTTTAATTTGGAAGAAAAAGAGAGAAGGGAAGACAGAGGAGATGAAGGGGAAAGAAAAGAGGGTGAGAGCTAAGAGAGAGGAAGGAACAGGCGACAGGAACAGAAAAGTTCACCTTCCTGTGGCTCGGCCTTTATTTATTTATTTTTTTTTTGAGAGCGAGTCTTGCTCTGTCACCCAGGCTGGAGTGCAGTGGCACAATCTCAGCTCATTGCAACCTCTGCCTCTGGGGTTCAAGCCATTCTCCTTCCTCAGCCTTCTGAGCAGCTGGGATTACAGGTATGCGCCATCACATCCAGCTAATTTTTGTATTTTAGAGACCGGGTTTCACTAAGCAGGTCAAGTTGGTCTCGAACTCCTGACCTCAAATGATCCGCCCACCTCAGCCACCCAAAGTGCTGGATTACAGGCGTGGCTCGGCCTTTGTATCCATGCCCTTCCCGTTACCCCTGGCGGGAAGATGGGACAGATATGCGTGTTCCCTTCCTGACGGTGAGGAAACGGAGGCTCGGAAAGTAAAGGCTGCCTGGCTAGTAAATGGCGGTGATGATCGGCGGTGACGAAAACAATTTGACG